TGAAGCCCGGGCATGCCGCAGTCAGGTCTCCCTGCAGCCTTCTCCTCCCCAGGCTGAGCAGCCCCAGCTCTCCCAGCCCTTCCTCCCAGCAGAGGGGTTCCAGCCCTTGGATCATTGCTGGGGCCTCCTCTGGCCCCGCTCCCACAGCTCCAGCTCTGTCCTGGGCTGAGGGCTCCGGAGCTGGACGCAGGGCTCCCGGGGGGTCTGTGAGGAGTAGAGGGGCAGAATCTCCTCCCTTGCCCTGCTGGCCACACTTCTCTTGATGCAGCCCAGGATGTGGTTGGCCCTCTGGGCTGCCAGCGCACATTGCCGGCTCATGTTGAGCTTCTCATCAACCAGCAGGAAGGCTGTCTACTCACTCCTGTGTATCACCTTGGTCTTCCTGTTATCCTCTGCTCCTGAAGTGCGAGGAACACACCCACTCGGACTCCAGGGGCTTTCCCACTTCATCTGGGCCCATGGAGAACAAGTTGGGGGAACTTGTAAGTTCTTTCCTTCAGTGGCTTACGAGGTCACCCTCATTTGCACGTCCACTGACCAAGCATCCATGGTAACATTCAAACTGGACAATTTCTACAGGTTTGCTAATGGGGTAGCAAAGCCCCTAAGCAGTTCCCTAAAGCTTCTGGATAGAAGAGAAAGATCTTGTTAATGTTCTATCAAGAGAAAGGCTGCAGCATTAGCTCAACCTAATTAGAGAGCAGAGAATCACAGCAAGCAGTTGACCTGCAAGGCAACTGTAGAAGTGGCTGGGGGTCCTGCTGCTCTTGGAACTGCCTGGCCTTTAATCAGATGGGAACAAAGGCACTAAGAGATGACAGGGGCTCCCAGACCACAGCCCAGTGGGTGCAGGAAACAGTTTCAGCCTGCACAGAACACAAACCCCCCCGCTCCAGTCCCAGAGCAGGAGAGGAGAGGTTATTGCAGGCCTGAAATTCAGCTACTGAATATTTACTACTTTTATTTTTTTCCCCCATCTTCTTTCGGAAATGACACCAGCTGGTTAAGGAGTCCCAAACAAGCCTGGATACACTTGTTGATTACTGTGTGGTGTCTGCCTTCCTCTTTCACCTCAGCACAAAGGGATACGCACTTGACTTTGACCGGTCTGTTTGGACTGCATTCCAGAAGAAGGTCAGTTACCTACAGCGCGGTATTTCCAATTACAAGGGAGGGCTGGTTTAAGTAAAGCCAGCCTGTCCCCACTCCTACAAGCCCTAACCAGCTGGGTTTCTCCAGAAAGCTGTTTTTGAAAAATAAATTCATGATTGTAATAAGCAAGAAAACCAGTGTCAGAGAGCTAGAGATTACACTTGTCACCACTGAAAAACAGATAGGTCAAAAACCTTACCTGAAGCAATATCACCTTTAAGAGTCTATGCCCAATCAGGAAGGAAGTATGGCTTGATCGCCACTTAATGCTGAGGACAAACTGCTGATAATATTTCCTGAGCCAAGAGGCACTGCCTTACCTCTTTGCAATTACTTTTATACTAGTGAGGGTTTACAACTGGCTTACAAGGTCTGAAATTGCTTCAGGATTCAGAGCCCCTAAGGCAAGAAAGATTTGATTCAGGTCTTCCACCTCACAAATGAATAGAAAGCCTACTCCCAGACCTCTTCAAAGCTCACCAGCAAAGGCATGGTCCCACTGAGCAGGGCCACATCAGTGGCACCAGGTCAGCCAGCCACGTGGTAATCATCAGGCTAAGGCAAGGTAACGAGGCAGGTCCAGAATCCATCCAGAGAGCCTAGCCTGGAAAACCAGAGACAAGCAACATACAGCATCGGGCTGAGGTCCAACCAGGCACCAGGGCCAGAGGCAGAACTCCCCACAACATAGACCTGAGGTCCACCAGGGAAAACCAGTCAGTAAGCAGGAGAAGGAACAGCACACACCTACAGCACAGCTCAGGAAAGAGGTGGCTGCCCAGGCCAGAGCTTAAACGGAGCTCCCAGGCCCATGGGCAGAGGGGGTGGGTGGAAGCCCCAGGTGAGACTGGTCAGGGTAATTAAGGGCTATTAGTGCACTCAGGGCACTGAGAGTGGGGGAGCTCCTCAGTTCAAGCCTCATCCTTGGATCGGGTTCAAATAAAGCATACGAGGCGTTGCACCTGTGCACAGAAACACAGCTGGGGTGCAGGCTGTCTGCTTCTCTTCTAACCTCTCCTCCTTTTTGTCTCAGCAGATGGGTGATAGATCATCTGGCTGGACCCTCGGGTACCTGCTGAGTCTGACCAATGCCATCCCCCAGGACCCCCCAAGCTTCCTCAAGGGGATAGAGCCAGGGGTCTGGTCGTTGCTCCTCATCCTCTTTGTCGTGCTGCTCACTGGCTCTTTCATGCGCATCTCATACCGTGTGATGGTCAAGGAAAACAGCTTCAGTAACAGGAACAGCAGTGTTTTTGATGACAACTGACAGTTATCCTGGGACTCGATGCTCCTGCCAGAGGGCAGCTAACAGGGTACACGCAGAAATCACACAGGTCTAAGTCACTGGACGATGCAAGTGATCTTCCTGTAGGACTCCCAGAACTTCAGTGGCTTATTTCAGCTTGCCAGCACTTGCACTACTGTACTTGGAGACAATGGATGCCGCTCCGCAGCAAGCCTGTGGTTCCCGGTGGATGGCATTCTATTCGTTCTCCAAATGGGAGCTGCCTGCGCAGATCTTGCTTGGGCTGCAGCTGAGATTACTGGTGTTGACCTAAGGAAACGATACCTCTGAGCAGGCAGGTCCTGGGCTATTGTAAAGTTAATATTGAATAATTCTGTCTAATCAGGAGAGATCGTGTCTGAAAAAGGTGCTTTGTCCTCTTCTGTGCCTACAAGAGAGATGATACCTGCAGTATCACCACTAGTGAAGACTGGAACAGCATTAAAATATAACCAGAATATAACAGCCAACTTGCTTCCACGGTCTAGGAAAGAGAGCAGCTATTTTCTGCCCACTACTACTGCTCTGTCTGTTCTTCACCTCAGTGACACTATCCATGCACCCCACCCAGCGAATGCTCCTGCTGACCGAGAATCCTTCAGAAGCAATGGGGTTTGGTCTTGGCCTCTTCAAAACGGGCAGAGCATCAAAGGAGGAACAAAGGGCACAGACGCACAGCTGAGTCCCTGTCTCTCAGCTGAGTCATGGCAACGCAGGGTTAAAATTGCCAATTTAAACTCTATAACCAGGACTTATATTAACACATTTCATTTCACATCTACGAAAACCAGGTGTATGCTGTGCTGAAGTTCACCAGTTCATTCATTTGCACTGAACTGCTTGTCTTGCTGACTCTGAAAATGAAGTATCTTATCTCATACTGTCCTTTAGAGAAGAGCAGACCCAGGAACAGAAGCTTTCCTAATCGTCAGTCCAATGCCTTTCATATTAGACTGTGACCAGAGTTGCTTTATAATCCAATACTCAGGATTCCTCTGGGACTTGGCAGTCGTTCCAGCTCCTCTGGTCTGGTTTGTTCTTGTCGTCTAACAGATGAGGTGCTGTACAAATTCCCCACATTATTGTGAAGAAGAGGGATGGACTCAGACTTACTCTGTCCTTTGACTAAAGCATTCAGAGTCCACTTCTCGTGTTGCTTTAGAGACTTAAACACACAGGCTGTTAAACACACAGGCTGTTAAAAGCCTAAGGGATGAGAGTCTCCTACTCATTTCAGACCAATTTAAACAGAAATTTAAATACTCGCAGTGCAGTGATGCGCCTTGCAGGATTTTTCAAGCTACCATGGCATCCAAATCCTCTCAAATCTGATTAATCCCTTGTGCTCCCAACTCATGTATAGGACACCCCCCCTCCCCCGTAATACTGGGTTATTCATAAATTTTCAGGCCAGTTAATGAAGGTTTGGAACCTGTCAGTCAAGTTTGGAGGGGTGTGGAAACAGATTTAAACAAGCTTCATATTAATTTCTTTGAGTTGCACGTTAGATATTTTTTAATTATATCATGTTATTAAAGATGTTTTAATAGACTGTCTGTGTTAGTCTTGGCAAGAGATCAAAGCGGGGGTTTTATTGTGAATACAGAGTGTTTCAGTGAGGAGGATGGGGGATGCTGATTTTGCCTCTGTTTACTCAAGAGCTGTTGCACTGTGTACTTTCGGGGTACACAATGAGAACCCCTGAAGGCACTTTCTTCCCAGTGGCAGGCAGGCAACAAATGACTTCAGATAACCTGGCTGCTGGTATTTAGTTGATGAGAGACATGTCTATGTCTTTGATGTGTTCTTTGCTCAAACCATCTGAAGAAGGTAGGAGGGATTCCAGCAAGCCTGCATAGAAAAAAAAATGAGGTTATCAGGGAGTCAGCGATATCAGAGAAATTCCTGAGACTTCATTCCTCCCGCATCTGGAAATGCAATCATTAAACAGAGCTCTGGCACTGTGACCTGTCAGCACACAGCAGAACTGTGGGATTCCTGGCTGAGATTTGCAACCTGCCCAAGAAGAATTTTACTGCTGTCAGAAATTCAAATAAGCCAGGGAGATGCCAGGAGCCCCAGGACTTCAGGTGTTCTGGCCTGCTCAGTCATTACACCTTCTTGGTTTTGAATACTAGATCATGGGGTCCAAGAGTAAGGACATTGGCTGGAACTTCCCCAAGTCTAGAAGCTTTGAGATTTCCATGCAGATAAGCGAGCAACTAGGCAAGAAGCTCAGCATGTCCTCCTGACACTTTACTTTTGCCTCGCACAGGCCACTGAGCTATACTGGGTGATGACTAACTTGCCCCATTAAATCCATGACACTTGAGCCACCATTTGACACCGAGCCACCATTCTGCAATACAAAAGCAGCCCACAACCACTTGATTCAGAGCAGATCCTAAACTCTTGAGCTAAAAGCTGCTGTGCCCGTCAAATGCACAGTGAGACATTTTGATGGCTGAAGTTCTTTCCCCGGTGGTCCACACACCGCAAGCGGCAGCTCCACTCCCTCCTTTCCCATCGCTGTCCTTCCAAATACCACCACTGCTGTCTCCTGCAGGCAGGCTGCAGGGGCAGGCATACGTGTTCCCATGTAACGACCGTGCTGCCCATCCCAAGCTGCAGCCCCAGTACCTAGGGTTACCAGGTGAACTGGGCTTTGAATCATAGAATCATGGAATGGTTTGGGTTGGAAAGGACCTTTAAAGGCCATTTAGCCCACCCCCTGCAGTGAGCAGGGATGTCTTCAACTAGACCAGGTTGCTCAGAGCCCCGTCCAACCTGGCCTTGAATGTTTCCAGGGATGGGGCCTCCGCTACTTCTCTGGGCAACCCGTTCCAGTGTTTCACCACCCTCATGGTAAAAAATTTCTTCCTTATATCCAGTCTAAATCTACCCTCCCTTAGTTTACAACCATTACTGCTTGTCCTGTCACAACAGGCCTCGCTAAAAAGCTTGTCCCCAATGGGGCAGTACCGACGGTGCATATCATCATTTTTTCTGTCCGGCAGGAAAAAAACCACACTTACAGATGTATTTCCTAGATGATGAGATAGACTGGTATTTTAAAAGCCTTCAGGTGTGGTTTTAGTCACTACAAAGGCAAAACATAACAAACTTGGGAACCTATGAGAAGAATGGAAACTAATAAAAGTAACATGTTCTTTTCTCCCAGCTCTCTATAGAAGCAGCTCCTTCATGTCAGCACTGTGTAAATTTGCCGAACTAATCCCCAGATTACCTGGACAGCAGAAATCTACTTAAAAGGAGATTCTAGATTAACTCACTTTGAAACGAAGATGCTTGCAGCCCTTTGGTTTCAATGCAATTGTGGAAATGATTAATAATGAGGATTTTCTAACCGCCCATAAATTCTGTATGTTTATGCATATCTCCCTCCCTTCTCACTCAGGCTGAACCATGGGAGAGCTCTTCTGGTAATAATAATAATGTCTGCTCACATGTAATTGCAGTTCTGCTGCTGTCAGCAAGTATCAGTAAAAAGGAAATCAAAAGCATTAAATATAAAAATTGACACCAGAAAGCAGTTTCTCTATTTTAGCTCCAGAAACACAACAGGTTAGCTGACTGGCTGCTGGCTGGGGTGGCCCTAATTTCATTTCAGTAAGTTTGTAGGAGTCTATTAGCTCCTCTCTTTCTTCCAGTTTATACCATTTCCAAAGCATCGTGGATTTCCAACCAGTACATCCCATCCAGATTGTACCAATGAATTCCCACAAACATTGAGAGAAATAACAGTTTATCGCCTGCAGCCCAGTTCTGCAGTACGAAGTCCACCATCACAGGACCAGAGCTGCTTCTTTCTTCCCGTTCTGACGCACCCAGGCTCCCTGCAGTTGTAGGAGAGAGACCTAACCCGAGTCCTAACCTCCCTCTGGGTTCCGGGCTGTGCCCGAGGCAGGGCTGTAGCTAACTGCTGCTTTCTGAGACACAGGCATTTCACAGGACGCTTCTGGGTGAATTAGTTAACCGGGATTTCCCAGACCTGGACTCTCTACCAGCTGCTGTCACAGACTTCCTAGTTTGTCTTGGCAAGTCCTGAGGAGGTCATGCCTGCTTCAAGGACTTTGTAAAACTTGTCATAATAGTTGAGCTCCAGCTCTCCATTAGCAATGCAGTGATTGTAACTCCTCCCCTCCTTGAGACAGTGTCCTGCCTGTGGAGATATCCAGTCCAGCGGTTAAGGGAAGGCTTTTGGAATAGCAAGGGCAGAAACAATGTACAGCACCAGGCACTGCAGTACTAGCACTCATTTCAGTTTTTTGGGGCTGTTACTATAAACAATAGTGAAATAACTTGAACTCCACAGCCACTGGTGGAGCAAATCCAGAAGAACATGGATGGCTGGATTTAGAAATCGATCAGTATATTTTTGTTTTGTTCTTATACCATGCCTATGATCACGTTTCTGAATATCTTCCAGAGAATTAGGAAGCCATGAGATGTTTATATCCTACTCATGGACTGTCACTCCTACTTCCAGAGCTAATTCAGAACACACTGAAGTAGATGGAAACGCTATCATAAGAATAAGCCCGAACGAATACCGGGATCAGCAAACCCCCTATTTTTGCCACAGTTCCTCTCATGCCATAGAATCCAGGCAAGTCAAAGTGTTTTAATATTTTGCAAGTGCAAACATCAGGGTGTACTCGCACACCGTGAAGCCCAGGCAGAAGAGAAGTCTTTGACCTGGTTTCCACCATGCCCTCGATACGAGATATTCAGAGCCTTCTTGCAGTAGGCTGCTTTTAGATCCCCTGTTCAAGTCAGATGAACGCAGAGCATCAGCTGCTGCTCCCCTGGATGTGTAATGACAGGGATTAGTCACAAGAGGGAGGCCGGCAGGACAGCGCCTTCAGCCTTAGGAAATCTCCAGCACAGCCAGGAGCTGGTCCCAAGACAAATCAAATAAATTAGCAAGCAGGCTCGTCTGGAAACTCGTCAAGGAGACT